AAACAATGTAATATAAAATATTACTGTAAAAACTGGATTGAACTAGGTGGCAGATCCAAGCTCTGGTCCCGGCTCTACCACAAATGGATAATTTCCACAATTTCTTTGTGCTTCTACACGGTGAAATTGGACTAGACCACCTCTATAGAGGTGTTTCCTTGTGTATTTTCCATCACATGAAGATGATTTAAGAGTGAATTCATTCACCACTTTTTTATCTGGACTATATTTTGCTTGAAAAAAATTTCACTGCTAGATGTCTGCTAGATGTCTAGTCACTCGCTTAGATTGAAGTCTTTTATTTCTATTTCCATGCATCTCATAACCCTAATCTAACCTAATCTATCTTTAACTTTACATTCTGCTCTTTCTCAACATACCTACATTGACACCAGAGTTCTCTACTCACTATTTTTCAAAATGTCACCATCAATTTCTGCCTCCACTTTGTGGTCAATATAGAGCTGCTGCTGCTACAGCTGCCTGAGCAGCTCCGCCCTGTATGCATGTCGCTTCCACCAAAACTTGGTCAATGCTTAATCTTGGATGTAACTTTGCTTTCAAAAGCTAAAATATACAGTGGATCAGAAAGAAGAGATAGTTGTCATGTTAAAGAGAACCTAACTTCTAGGCAAGCAAGACGTGTTTGTAATTTGAGAGAAAGCACAGAAAGAAAGAACTAGGAAGGAAATGAAAGCCTTGGGCAGCCCTAGAGCATAGAAGGGAGACAGCACTGCAGAAGAGTCATCTGTGTGTGGCCTGGAGGGGTGCGCCCTGATCCATGCACTCGCTGGGATCTAGTTGTAGGATAGTTCTATCATAGAGATGAATGCACTCATTTACTTATTACAGACTGATGCTGTTAAACATTTATGCCATGTGACTGACACCCTATGATTTCATTTCATAGTCATTAAAAATTTTCTGATTCTTTGACTCCCCTTATGGTGCACCCAGAAAATGCCCCGACTAGAGACAAATCCACTTATATTACATTTGTATCATAAATTAATGAAATAGAAAGTGATGAATTCAGATACCCGTTTCTGTGACCTTGAGTAGGATTATTCTATCCTAAAACAAGACAGAATAACAAATTATTCTGAAGGCAGAGGAACCAAGGGTCAGATCCTGGACTATAGTTAATTTACCAAAAGAATGCCCCCACTGAAACTACATGGGATACTCCGGACTGCCCAGTGAACACCCTGTGTTGCACTATTTTCTTTTTAACACTTACACACACCTTTATTTATTCAAGACCACTGAAGACATATCACAGCTGACTCTAGAACATACAGGCATTAGTGGCACCAGCCCACCCTAAACTTCCTGCAGTAGAAAATCCACCACTGACTCCCCAAAACTTAACTACAAATAGCCTACTGTTGACCTTACCCATAACATGGTCAATTAACACATATTTTATTTATAACATTATATAATGTATTCTTATAATAAAGTAAGCTAGAAAAAGGAAAATATTAAGAAAATCATAAGGAAGAAAAATACATTTACAGTATTATACATATTTATTAAAAAAATCTGCATATAAGTGGACCCATAGAGTTGAAACCTGTGTTGTTCAAGGGTCAACAGTAAAATAAAGGCTTTCTAGGAGCTTGTTTCCACCTGCCTTTCCAACAATTCCCTCTACGGACCCTAAGCTACAGCAGAAACAAATGTCTAAGAACACCCATTAAGTTTCAATCTCTGCTTGGAATAGTCTTCCTTTCCATGTTAACAAGTCTAAATTTTAATTAATTCTGAAAGTTTACCAGAAAAAAAATGCTTTTTTCATGAAGACTTTTCAAAGTACACTACCCCATCAACACTAAACTAACAATTTTGGTGACTTAGGAAAGTAGCAATTTGCTCTCTAATCAATTTATAACTTACTATGTGCCTCACTTAGAGTCATTAGAATCTGTGGCATTTGGTAGGTTCCTTCTTTCAGTAACTAGGTAATAATCAGGTATTAAACTCGGTTTCTTTGTGCTGAAAGACTACACATGCTGCCAATGCGTAATGTGATCTGTAAGTCCGACCTATTATTTTGTTTTTGCATTCTACATTTCAGTGCCCAGGGATACAGCCTAGCTTACCTACACTATCAGTCTACAGTAGATACACCTGTATTTACCAATTAAAAGTATTTTTGCCCACTGAGAGAGTAATTAATCTTTATTGTTTTTATGAAATAATTATTAAAATTATTTAAATTTGTTCCTGTTAAGGACACTTATTACTTGCTCCATGCACTTTATTTATGAGTTTTTGTTTGATCTTCCCTTCTATGTTCTTTAAAGATATGCTCCACATCTATTTCATCTTTGTACTTCCTACAGTTCTCAGACAGTGTCTTGAAGATAGATGACACTTTAAATATAAATTAAGATTTTCTCTTCCATTTTTAATGAAGGCCCTCCTCATCCTGTTCGTATGTATTCCATCTTCTTCTTAGAAAGGAATACATCTCCTTGACCATCCCAGTCCATAGGTCACTCTCACTTTTGAACTCCTAAAAGAACGGGCTATAAACCATTTAATTGCCACTGAAACTACACTAGCATTATCTTTTTATGTTTATATGTATTTTATTGTCTTTTTATATTTTAGTATATTCCAATATCTAGGCATAGCATAGACAATCAATTTTAAAAAGATCAATCAAGGGATTCATTAAGAAAAGCATAGTCAAAACCAAAAGAGAACAAAAGATCTCATCCATGGCCATGAAAAACAAACTCCTATTGCAATGCCAAAAGCTTTGACACACATAATAGTTACCAATAAATTAAATTGTGTTGTAATTCTACAAGTGTCTTTGAATTTCATAGATCTTCCTTTCACTTTAGGGAGACATTAAGTGCCAACAACATTCATTTACTGACCATTTCATTCAATACCAATGAAAGCAGATAACTTTAAACAAAAACAAATAACTATATTAAACATATAAGGATAACATGCATTTGTAACTTAGTTTTCCCTGCTGAAGACATTTATATAGTCAGTTTGTAGTGTATATCATTTTACTGTATGCTAAACCTTAGCTCTTTTATTTCTATTAGGTTTCTCCCTCCCTCAGGGACTAAAAGCAGATAAGCAATTTTGAATTGTCACTTCTTTGTATCCTTCCACAGCAAGGAACTATTTTCACTGCAGGCATTTTATAAATACTGGCAAAACGGCTTTAAAGGCATGTCCTTATGTTAATTAATGGGATAGCACAGATTTTGTACCCTTGATTAAGTACAAACATATATATGTAACCAAATCCCACAAGGAGAGTTGGTTCCCCAGTTTAGCATCTCAGTCACAACACTCTAGAGCAACAATTTTCAATCTCTTCATCTCACGGCACACATAAACTAATGACATACTAAAATTTTGCAGCACACCAAAAATATACTACATTGTTGCCAATTTGACCAAAAAAGGGTGTAATTTTGATTCAGTCACACTGGACAGCTATTGTGTTGGCTGTTGCCATTTTTCAATTTGACAATCTAAGGGAACACAGGTCAGTGCCCCTGACTAAATGGTCAGGTACTGCATGTTTTAAAAATTCCTGGGGTGTAGGAGTTGAACATTGCTGCTCTAGAATCTTGCTGCTCAAAGTGTGGTTCACAGACCCGCAGCATTGTTATCACCTGGGAGCTCATTTTGAAGCAGAATCACAGGCCCTACTCCAGGCCTCCTAAATCAGAATCTGCATTTTAAGATCCTCTGGTGATCTATAAGCACTTCAAGTTTTGAGAAGCACTGCTTTAGACTCCAGAGGAAGAATGAGAATGTCCAAGATGCATATGACCAAGTAATGCTAACTAACTCATTTTTGCTTATTTGTTGGTCTTCCCTATCTGCTAATTGAAGGCTTGTTGAGAGCAGGAATCCTTTTTCTATCTTCCTCAACACTAGTATTCCCTATGCTGAGAAGGCTCTGGAACATTACCCCGTGCTCAGTAAATATTTTTTGCTGAATGCATGAATGACTGAACACGGTGAAAATAAAACTTTTTCACAAAGCTGATCTTTTAGGAAATTATTTGTACAACATGATTTTGCAAACTACCATACTAATTCTTTAATCTGTATTATTAATTCCATTTTAAAGGCTGCCTTCTCGACTTCAACAAATGCGTTTAACACATTCCACAAAGCAGAAGCTTGGATCATCATCCTTTGTTGGAGCCATCAGAGGCCTCTTTTACAAGTGAGAGAGCTGCATTTTAATTCTGGCTCTCACAATCCATCTCACACGCCTGCACAAGATGAAACCACCGCAAACCTTGGAGGGGGTGGGGGGAGTAGAGGAGGAATGCGTAAAACATAAAAATTCTGTATCAAGGGCATCATATAAAACCTGAAAAACATGATTTTTGGAACAGGATACTTCCAGAAAATAATTCCCGGCAAGAGAAAGGAGAAGAAAACTCTTACCTTTCTCAAAAGCAAAAGGTGATACTAGACAATACCAGGGAGTGATAAAAGACCAGCGACTGCCTAGCGACGTTAGGTGAAAACACACCAGACCAGAACTAAAGCGGATAGCGGTTAGAAATGTCCGAGAAGGGTGACAAAAACCGCTTTCAGGTTTGCAGAGAAGGAAGTCAAGGGAAAAGAAAGTGGACAGAAAATAGCTCTATGACGCGTACAACTTACCACAATGATGATGACTATTAATTATTATTATTTGAGAGAGAGAGAGATGGCATGCACTTGAAGGGAGGGGGTGGAGGAAAGAAACAGAGGTTGCAACTGCGCGCTCCGCAAAAGGAAGCGGCTGCGAACGTCCCTGCCCAGCTCGGAGGGTCCCAGGGCGGCAGCCCTAGCTTAGGTGGGTGGCAACGCCCGGCTCCACCGGCTCCCTCCCGGTGGCCTGAGCCATCTCCTCCATAGCCAACCGAGCACCGGGTGGGGACAGGAGAAAGCAGACCGTGTGTGGGAGAGCGTGCTGGAGGAAAGGGAGGATGCCAGGCTGTCCAGGTACCCACCTTATCCCAACGGAGCCACTGCCCGATGGCCGTGTCTAGCTGAGGGTCTCCAGTGTGGTAGGGGGCGTGGAGCAGGTTGGAGTTTAGGTCCCCGTCTGCGTTTTCAGCCATGGCAGACAGACTGGGGTACGCGGGCCAGAGAGCTGACGAAGACGCCGAGTTGCGGGGGCCTAAGGTGAGCTTACCAGGGTCCCGACGCCCCCTCCTCAGTGAAGGGCATCGGAGACCAACCGCAGGATGTTTGCGCCAGCTCCGGCAGCAGCTCTGGGAAGCAGAAGAGAGGAGGATGCAACCGCCCGCTCCTCAACACACCAGCTACTGGTCTCTGTCTGGGCCAACAGGCTGAGGCGGTCGCTCCGAGAGAGAACAACAGTCCCAGATGCCTGGATCTCCACCACGGCCGCCGCTGCTGCCGCCGCCGCCCAGGCTACCTTAGGCCCCGCCCCAGCACCGCTGGCCCCGCCCCTGCTAATTTAGGCCCGGGGGTTGGGGCGTGAAGAGAGAGTGGAGGGGAGCGCGCTGGCGAATTCTCAGCAGTAGCGGGAGTTAGAACCCGGCAGGGTGGTGAGGAAACGGAGCACGGCTCTTTTTATTTTTCATACAGCCTTTTGCCACTGGTGTTTGTTTGTTACACTTCCCACACCCTTCCACGCGTCTCCTTTTCTCGATCGGCTACCACGAGCGCCCCACCTCAGCGCTCGCTCTGCAGGTCCCCGGCGAGCGCACAGACCATCTTCCAGTTTCGGCGTGGGGCAAGAGCTTGGTAGGAGGGAGCGCAGGGCTGTACCCGCACGGCATTACGGGAGTTGTAGTTCTTTTCTTTCCCCGTGGTTTCGGTGACGGCCGCGAGGACTACGACTCCCATCAGATCCGCACCCTCCCTTTCCTCAAAGGAAAAAGAGCTATCTCAAGGCTGTTCCCTGCGGACATTCTTTGTACCTGTTAGTAACGCTGCGCCTTGTGGCCCTGGGCCTAAATTAAATTAAGGACAGATTCAGTAAGGGGACAGCTGATATGCTGTCCCTCCTGTGAGGTAGGTGGGAGTGATCATCCCCATTTTACACACAAAGAGGAAACTGCCTTTCTGAGAGTGAACCGACTTTCTCAGAAGCGATGTTCGTAAGTGATGGAATCAGGGTTCTAAACTGGCTTCAGATCTCAGCTGGCAGTTCTTTTTGCTCTGCTGCTACAGTGAACTAGGAGGTAGGGAGAATAAGATGACTGAAAAATAGACAAGGAAGTGGTGAAGGAGGGACAATGGGTCAGCATTTAACCATAAGTAACGATGCATTCGCGTCATGAGAGAGACACTTGAGAACAATGGCAGTAGGAGTGCAAAGGAAGAAGAAAGATTATTGAAATAATTTAAAATTTCTTGCTTTGGCCTTCTTATCTTTCAGCTCACACAGCGTGAGGCCTGGGAGATGCTGCAAAGTGCTTACCTGCCACTCAAATTTGCTCCTGAGTTTCTTGGTTTGGCTCTATGATTTTGACCTACTCAGCTTTTTTTGTAAGACGGGTGTAATAATATTTGAACCATGGCTACAGTAACTTAATGAATGGCTTTAGAGTGCTTTGAAGTTCGTAGATAAAAGACATAAATTCAAAGTGTTACTCTTTCCTTTGAAGTGCCATTTACCATAATAAAATCCAAAGTACTAAGGTACAAAAGGATCATAGCGTCAATTCCTGAAAAATATCATGCCATAGTTTTGAGTTACAGTTTTTGCTATGCTGTTGGATTGTTTCTTTATTGGAGTCAGCAGGTTCTTTTAATCACACAAGGGTTGGGAAACAACCATGTGTCCTGGAGATTCATCATTCACCATCATCACTATTATTGACCATGACAACAAGCATTAAGTGAACATTCACTCTGCTAAGAGCTGTGCTAGGAGCTGAGACTACAAGGAAGTATATAACATAATTATTCATTTTTTAAAAATAAAATCTATCTAAGGAGTCGGGATCTATGCAAGAAAAGATAGCCCATGACAAAAAGCAAATGTTGCAAACAACTATTAAAGAAGTCAGAGCCTGAGATGGTCAATAAAAGCAACAAGCAGCAGGAGAGACCAGCACTGGGCTTTTAGTAACAAAAATTAATAAGTACAGAAAAAGATAAAGGGAATTTTAAACTTGTAGACCATTAGTTTTCAGGTCTCCTGAGGACTTTGTTTAAAATGTATGTTCCCTGGTAATGCCCAGAGACTGAACTAGTGTATCAGGATAGGGCCTAGGTACCTACATTTTGTCAAATACCTATTGACTGTGACATAGGAGACCATAATCTTGCTGCTCAAAGTGGGAAATGACCAGTTTATTTGTGTGCTCTGGGAGCTTACTAAGAAAAACAAAACTTCAGGCCCCGTCTCATGTCTAAGACTCCTTAGCCAAATCTAAGGCCATGGAGATTTACCCTTTGTTTTCTTCTAAGAGTTTTATAGTTCTAGTTCTTAGATTTAGGTCTTCTCTCCCTTTTGAGTTAATTTTTGTATATGGTGTGAGAGTGGAAGCTAATATTCATCTGCATGTGTCTATCCAGTTGTCCAAGCACCATTTGTTGAAAAATTATTGTTTCCCTATTGAATGGTCTTGCTATTCTTATTAATAAACATAAGGGTTTATTTCTGGACTCTCAACTCTATTCCATTGATCTCTATACCTGTCTTGTGCTAGTACCACAATGTCTAAATTACTGTTTTTGAAATCAGGAAATATGACTAGTACTTTGCTATTCTTCAAGACTATTTTAAGTATTCTAGGCCTCTTACAATTCCACATAAATTTTACAGGTAGCTTGTCAATTGAATATTTCTCCAATTATAGATCTTTAATGATTTTTGACAGCCCTGCTGGTGTAGCTCAATGGAGTGAGCATGGGCCTGGGAACCAAAAGGTGGCTGTTGATTCCCAAACAGGGCACATGCCTGGGTTGCAGGCCAGGTCCCCAGTAGGGGGCATGTGAGAGGCAACCACACATTGATGTGTCTCTCCCTTTCTCCCTACTTTTCCCTCTGTCTAAAAAAATAAGTAAATAAAATATTTTTAAAAATAATATCTTCTGTTTACATTGATTCTTTGAATGAGTGTTTCTCTCTTCCTAGAAAGACTTGCAACAACATGGACGGACCTGGAATGTATTATGCTAAGTGAAATAAGACAAACCAAGACAAATATATGATTTCACTTATGTGTAGAATCTAAAAAAACATAATAAATGACAAACAAAACAGAAATAGACCCATAGGTGCAGAGAACAAACATGGTTGCCAGATGGCAAGAGGATGGCAGGGTTAGCTGAAAAAGGTGAAGGGATCAAGAAGTACCAATTGGTAGTTACAGCACACTCGTGGGAATGTAAAGTGCAGTATAGGGAACATAGTCAGTAATATGTAATAACTATGTATGGTGTCAGATGGGTACTTGAGTTATCAGTCAGATCACCTCCTAAATTATATAATTGTTTAACCACTGTGCTTATACACCTGAAACTAATATAAATGAATATTGGATGTCAACTGTAATTAAACAATAAAATTTAAAAAACAAAAAAGGAAAAGCAACAAATATATACATTATAAATATCAAAGCTGTTGGAGAAAAAGAATAAAGAGAGAGTTTTTCTCTCCTCATATCTCTCTTTAAAAAAGAGAATGACCTGTTCATGTTTGAAGACTGTAGATAAGGGTAGAAAACATTATGCACATGTAAATATAAAACTAAGTGGTTGTTTGCAAAGGGAACAAATAAAATGTATTAAAATGTTAAAATCAATTAATGTAATGGATCACATCAATAGGATAAAGAAGAAAAGTCACATGATTATATCAATAGATGCACAATTCATGAAAGAAAGAATTGGTAAGCTGGACTTCATTGAAATTAAGAATTCCTGTTCTGTGCAAGACACTGTTAAGAGAATGAAAGGACAAGCCACACAGTGGGAGAAAATATTTGCCAACGATGTTCTTGATAAAGGATTGTTATCCAAAATAAAAAAAGAACTCTTAAAACTCGACAATAAGAAAATGAACAACACTTTGTTTCAATTAAAAATGAAACAAAGTCTAACAGATACCTCACCAAAGAAGATACACAGGGCAAAAAAGCATATGAAAAATGTTTCACATAAAACATCATCAGGAAAATGCAAATTAAGACAACAATGAGATACCACTACACACCTATTTAGAATGGCCAAAATCCAGAACACTGACTGTACTAAGTGTTGACAAGGATGTGAAGAAACAGAGCCCTTTTTCATTGCTGGTAGGAATGCAAAATGGTACAGCTACTTTGGAAGAGTTTGGCGGTTGCTTAAAAAGCTAAACATACTCTTACCATCCAATCCAGCAAGCATGTTCATTGGTATTTATCCAAAGCAGGTAAACCCTATAACCACCCAAAAACCTGCCTATGGATGTTTACAGAAGCTTTTGTCATAATTCGTAATTACCAAATCTTGGAAGCAATGAAGATGTCCATCAGTAGGTAAATGGATAAATATACCCTGACACATCCAGGCTGTGGAATATTATTCAATACTAAAAAGAAATGAGCTATGAAGCCATAAAAGGACATGGAGGGAGATTAGGTGCATATTACTAAGTGAAGGAAGCCAATTTGAAAAGGCTACATACTGCATGATTTCAACTATATGACATTCTGGAAAAGGCAAAATATAGAGACAGTAAAAAGATCATCGTTTGGTAGGAGTTACTGGGAAAGGAGGAATAAATACGTAGAGCACAAAGGATTTGTAGAGCAATGAAACTACTCTATATGATACTATAATGATAGATACATGTCATTATGCATTTACCCAAACCCATAGAATGTACAGTATCAAGAGTGAACCATCATGTAAACTATGGACTTTGGTGGGTTTGTCAATTGTAACATTGCTCTAGTGGCAAAATATTAAAAGTGGGAGAGGCTATTCATTTGGAGGGGGTAAGGGGATATTTGGGAAATCTCTGTACTTTCTGTTTAACTTTGCTGTGAACCTAAAATTGCTCTAAAAACTAAAGTCTTTTTTAAAAAGATGATTGTGCCACCTTAACATTGTATTCAATATCTAAAGTCTAGGCCAGGTGAAGGGTAAAGGGCCATCAGAAAAAGCAATTTTTCTCATGAGCCCCTCCCCGCAGGATTTCCCTTATATCTTTTTGGCCAGAAATACATCATATGGTCACTGTTGGGAATGGCCCTGCCTGGTTTCAGAAGCTGTAACCCCCCATGGCTAAGGCTGAGTGAGAGACCTTGGGACCATAAGCCACTAAGGAGACAAAGCTTATCTTCCCAGCAGGGGTGCCACCTCTGCCCCCTTTACTTTACCCTGCTTGGCCTCGAGCCTGGCCAGTTAGCCAATGATGGGTAAGATTCCTCAAGGGAGGGATGACCTAAGACAGGCACAGTCATGGGGGGGGCATGCTCAGGGAAGGACTTGAGGGTCTATAGCAAAAGGGGATGATGGACCCTTGCCCCCAGGCTTTGACATAGCCTGAGTACTCATTCTGTCCGCAAGAAGTC